CTCTACCCCGCCCAAAATTATAATTATTAAAAAAAAAGGGGGGGGGGGGGGCATTCCTCAGGGCTCAATCATTAGACCTCTCACAATCACATCTTTGTTTTAAAGAAAGCACTTTTAAAAGAAAACAATGCTGCAGACACTCAAACAATACCAGAAGTAAATGTGTAACATGTAATTATTAAGATGATTTTATATGCCAGAAAGCATTTATGTGGTTGTAAATGCTTTCTGAACAATATACAGTGTCTTTTATGTGGAGAGAATTCATGCTACAAGTTCATTGTTGAACATGTCTTAGATGTTCAATGATGAACTTTACAAATGTTATTGTCTTGTAAATCAAGAAAATTTTTCGTCCAATTTTTGGCAAAAATGTTTTTTATTTTATTTTTTATTTTATGTGATTTGTCATTGGGTACCAGTGTCATTGTCCAAGGGTATTACATATGATTGGGGGAGGGGCTTCTGCCTGGTATTTACTCTTGTTTTGGTTATTTAATAATGAAGTCTTGTTTTCTCTTTTGATTTTCCATGTCACATGTAGAGGAATCAGACATCCTGAAAGGTCTTAAAACCTAATTTAATTATTATAAGATATTAAGATATTTTCAAAATATGAAACTATTGAAAAATCTTTTAAGTCTCGACACACATGTGACTCTACGTTGTTGTAACTGTCATTACAATTTCCTCTACATTATCCCAATCACCACAAATTGAATCAAAGAAATGATAATAAATCAAGATCAAACAATCAAAGGATTAATAGTCGCGTTTAGTCTGAGCTGTAAACACCAGACACAACAACAATGCCTTTGGTCAAAGGTTGTTTTTTAATTCATTTTAAGTTTCTTTTAATAAACTCTTTATTTTTTTATTTTTTTTTCTATCAAAAAATGACACAGCTGACTGAATGTCTAAAGCAGGTTGTTACTGCACTGAAATGCACTGTTACATATTTAGAGGATTGTTACAACAGTAACTACAGTATTGGCATGAGACATACGTATCAGAAGAGTTTCATCCTAAAATGGAGACTGTAACATTATAATTCAATGTTTAAAAAAGGTTAAATGTATTTGGAAAAAAATGACATGCTAAAACAAAACACTAAATTGGATTTAAAAGGTCTCATTTTGGAATGAAAGTCGGTACTACCAAATGTACTTTTAAGGTATTAAGCTTGAACAATTTTACTTGAACATGCATTTAATTGTGTATCTACTATAAGATATACATTATATACTGAAAATATACTAGTGTAGAAAAAAAAGGGTATATGTCTGTTGTGAATGTTTTGTCCTGAAGGAAAATAAAAACATATTGTTTGCTGTATATTGCGAGCCCATTCTGCTGTTTTTGTCGAGTCACTGCAGCATGGTTGAAGTCAGGAGGTTTTTCTTCGTCATTGTGAGGATGAGTGTGGGTTTAGGTGCAAAAAAAAGCGGAGGGAGGCTCCTCTGTCTGTTTATAAAGTATCCTCCCACTGAAGTTTGTGTTGCCGCTCCACTGTTAAAAGAAAGAAAAGCAACACTTCACTTTAAAGCCCCCTGTTAAGCATAATATAAGCAGTATACAAAATTGAATAAATGGTCTTAAACTCACTACAATATACTTGAATGTAGCTGTAAGGACATTTGAAAATGTTAATTAATGTACAGGATTTATTTCATAGTGAGGATTCAATAATTATCAATATTTTTAGATTTAAATCACCAATAAATCTGATATTAAATATCTTAAAATTTGTTTGGGCAGAAACAGTTTTAGACCATTATGTAAAACTCAAGTTAGTGTGTCTTTAGGATACATTAGTTTGTAAATGAAGACAGTTGAAGTAATAATCCTTAAGATTTTCTTTTCTATTTATGGCCGCCAATTTTTCTGTTAAAATCATTACATATTCTATAATTACAATCATTAGATCCTTCTCTATGTAATAGTTTTTATTGTCAGTGGCAGGGTCCGCTATTCCCACACCAGATTCAACATGCACAGTGGATTTGTTTCCTGCTGTACTGGATGACAATTGGAAGATGAGAGCTGAAAAAAAGGTATAACTAAATATGCATAAAGCAGTAACCTTCATGTAACCCTGATAATATTATTTCTACAACCCCCTTTTGTTCTGAACAATATAGGTCTAGAGTATAATAATACTCAAAGCTACCAAACATACATGTTGGCCGGGTAGATCTCCTGCCCGACCCTCTTCTCTCTCAAATGCTGTTTACCAACAGCCACAAGGAGGTGATCAGACTGGACTTGTCTCCATGGTCCTTCATCACCGCCTCTCCTCTTCCTCTCCAGTTTCTGTGTGACTGTCTGCAGCAGAGCGTCCAGACTGGACAAGGAGATGTCCGGAAGACGAAATTCAGCCGATCTCTGCACAGAGAACAAAGTTCATCAGCAAACTGAGAAAAAAAGTCAAGTGATTCCTAAATGTTTTGTTCAGAGGTGGAAGATAATATGTAGATGTTGTACCTCTGTAGCTTACCAGACAAACCTCAAATTTTATTTTTAATCACCTAAGTGTTTCAATAGCTTTGTGTTTTTTTCTTGTTATATAGTGTCAAACTTTGGTTTTTAGTTTTGCTTTTTTGTGTGTGTTTTGTGACTGAATGTCTAAAAACTTTAAAAACCATGTACAAGTTACTAAGTTTTTTTAAGTTACACATAAGCATATACATATACTCTTAAAAAGTTTAACCTTAAACTTGACTGTGTCTCTCTGTCTGATTCATCAAACTATTTGCATCTCCTTTAAGATTTAGAAAGATGTTAAATATGTTGAAGGAGGAAGTTGGACCACAGACATGAAATGTTCCTAAATATCTGTTTTAATATTCTGACCAAAAAGAAAGTTCAGCTCAGAAAGTTGCAGCAATTTCAAATTGTGACCTCTACATTTCCTCTTAATCATAACAGTGTCAGACCTGTCCGTGATGATGCAGTTTCTCCAGGTTGCTAATAAAGATTGATGTTAATGCCACTTTTCCTATGACCCCCTTTAACTGAAAATGAACCTCTTCTGCCTGAGCAAACCTTTTTAGCACTCTCTCTCCATATCAGGATTCTCAGGAACGGGACATTTTAAATGAGGTTTTGTAGTTTTTGTAGTTTAACTCACGCTTTTAGAGAACAAGGGATTATCTATCCAGGGCCTGCTGTCTGACTCTTGTCCTGTAACTGGTGCGTCACCTCCACAGCCTTTAGTTGTAAAGTTTGGAGAGATGGTTGTTGTTTTCTCAGATAAGCTGATGGGAGGTAGAGGTGTGAGGAACCTCTTGGTCTCCTGATGGTGACTACACTCTGAAGGAGCTGGTTTAGCTTGAGTCACAGGTGGCAGTACAAACAGAGGTCTTAGTGATTGTTTGGTTCCAGTGGCTCTGTCCAAAGTTAATCCCGTAAAAGAATCACATGTATTGAACGTTTGTTGGAATAATTTGGTGACAGATGGGTCATTCTTGCTGTTGATTTTTGCTCCCTCTTCACTCGTACAGCTGATATCTTCTTCTTTCTCCTCCTCCTCCTCCTCCACAGGCTCCTTGGCTGAAGCTAAAACGGGCATCAAGTTGACACAAAGCCTCATTATATTTCCTGATGTCTCACATGTAGTTGTACCCTTTTCTGTGGCTGCTCTGCTGAGAGATGGGGTTTCTTTAACCTTCTCCTTTGACTTCCCAATTCTCATCCTAGGAACTGATTTCTTTACTTCACCCACGATGATCGGACGTGTGTCTGGTTCATGTTTTTCTAGTTTTACTGTTTTCTTCTCCTTCCCCATCACAAACTTCAGATAAAAACACATCAGTGAATCTTCTCTGATATTGTCCAAGCATCTCTCAAAAAAGCCTCTTAAGATTTAAAAAAAAAAAAAAAAAAAAGAATTTTTCAGACTCAGTGTTTTCTTTCGTGCTCAAAACTTCTCAGCTCCCTTTCTCTCAGCAGCAGTGAGAAAAGCTCACAACAATAAAATGACTGTGTGGCAGGCCAATTAAACTGGCTGTTATGGTAACATGCACACAAACCCCAGTCACCCTTAGTGGAGTAGAAAAAAATACATTGTTATTTTAGATTTTACGTCACTGCTTAAAATGAAAGCAATCTAAGGTGCAGGATTATGAAGATAATGGAGGTGGCAGTGCCTTTATTTCGAAATTATGACAGGAATTTTTGTTTGATGGGGTGTATGAGGATTGTCTATTGGCTAGATGAATCACCCAGGAGTTTAAAAAAAACCCCACTGCAGTCATGCACGTCTGAATATTTGATTCACATAATGTATGAGCTACCAAATGAAACTAAATAATTTTCTTTAGCTTCCTGGTGATGCTTGTTAAAAGGTCATATGTGAATTTTTGTAGGCTATCAACAAGTCTAAATACAACTAACACAAACTGTAAAAATAAAGAAATTCCTGCTATAGTTTGTTTCTGAACCAAATTTAAAGCTGCACTAATCAATATTTTCTATCTCAACAAGGAATCAAATTATCAATCAAAGGTGTAACTCACAGTGACGAACCCCCAGATAATCGTCACCCGACTCTGCAGTTCACCTCAACTCTACAGTGTTTTAGCATTTTTCAGCCCATTGTTTTGCTTTTACAGCCTACACGTTTTTATTTATTTATTTATTTTTTTACTCCTATGCGTCATCTGCCTTTTTCTAACTACTGTACCTTCCCTATTTGTTCTTGTTGTCCTCGTATCTTATCATAGTTAGTTTTCACAACTGCTGTCTGGAATATCTGAGGTGGCTTTCCTTACAATCAAATCCAAACGTGATTAAATTAAATTTACGCAGATTTAAAAAGAACATATATACACATATACATATTCTTTTATATGTTCTTGAATCTGTTAAACGAAGTAATTAGAGGTAATATGTAGAAAAGATTAGATATTTAAGAGCTGCACCAGGTGTAACTACACGCAGACGGAGTGAGAGCTCTTACTTTTTTCTCCTCTCTTTGTTTGTAGTAGGAGGACTCCTCGTCCAGCTAGCAGCCAAACATACTCACTGTCTTAACTTCACAACTGTATTTATTTTTTAACACGGCCCGTAAGGATCCACACAGCGGGTTCTTTCCGTGCATTTTTGCTCCAATAAGATGGTCGTTTTGACAACTAACAATGAAGAACAGGATTATATGTGAGTGACAATTACGAGTATTTTATGTTAGCAAGCTATTTAGCATTAGCCACCATTTAAACAGCTAGTTAGCTTTAGTTAACGTCAGGAGCTGTAGTCAGGTTTACATTAGCCGAAATGCTGCCAGCTCTCTTTCTTATCAACACAACTGCATAAACTCTTAGTTGCTAGTTTGGAGTAGTTTGGCTAACGTTAATATTTATGATTGACAGGCTGTTGGGTTAAATCCCCCACCCCTGTTAGCCTTTTAGCCGTTAACTAGCTGACCTGGATATGTTGGTTGTTGTATTTTGATTACATTCAGTCAAAACTACGTCACGGTGTTTCCACTAACCGACGAGGTGAAAACCCTTGCTTTTGGGCTTCTCCTACAACAGGTTAGTTGGATTAGGTGAAGTTACAGAAGTGAGAGAAAGTCGCTATATATATATATATATATATAAAATGTTTTTAAAACCTCTGTTACAGCTTCCACCTGGCTACCAACTACATGTCAGAGTGGTATTATGATTGTTTATTACTGTGGGCAAACCTAAATAAGCCAGGCAGAAATGATGGCATATTATGTTGCTGTAGTGTTGTTTGTAACATGCAGGGCTCAGGCTAAAAATGGCATTTCAACTGAGCAAGTTGGCAGAAAACCCAGCAGAGGCGCCCACTGACCTACATCTGAAGCTGCTGCTGCTGCAGGGTGCTCCTCCTTGCTCTGATCCATTTAAAGATACTGCAGAGACAAATCAGGCAGTACAGTACAGCATAAGTGGCCATGTCTCCTGATGACACAGGAAAAAATTGATGCCCCTTTTTTTAAGGTGTATTTCAGTTAAGGCTCCAAGGCCCAGTGAAAGAAGCTGAGCACAAAATTCAATTCTCTAGGGCCTACCATGAGCTAGCAGGCAAGAAACATTGGTGTCGTTTTTAACTTAGAATAAAATTTAAGGACTTATGTGGGGTTTGTCACCAAATCTGCTTTTTAGCATCTTGAAATACAATTGAAGTGTGTACATAGTTACAGTTACACCTGATTCAGCACTCTGCTCCTCAAATTCTGACTACGACCTGAAAGGAGAAACCCACCCAAAAGTCCTTAAAAACTGCTTTAGTATTTTTTATCAGCTTGATGATGATCTTCACCTGTCATGGCCACTTTAGCTGTTTGGTTTCTTCTTCTTTCCTTTGATAACCTGCCAAATAAGATTATGTTGTAAAGATGTACTGCATGCCCTGTTTAGCCGCAATCGAGATTGATAGCTTTAATCTCTTTATATAGATACACCATTTCACACCAACATCCAGCAATAATACAATTAGTAAACTATTGTTAAAGAGACAGGAGGATCCAAACTCAATGTCCACTTCACTTCTGAAGCACCAGACCCTCATCGACTTTAAAATGACATTAACAGGAATGACATCATACAGGAATAAAAAGTTCATTGTGGTGAAATGAATGACAATTAGGTCAGACAAAAAGCTTGGTGTCTCATGCTGTTGCTGTGTTCGTGTCATATTGGAGTTGTTGTAATTATGAGTTTCTGACTTGGCGTTCACGTAAACATCCAAGTTATAATTACAGCTGGGAGACATGGATTTTTGGTGCCTGAAAGCCAACCAAACAAGCAAAAGACTCATTCAGTGTCATTAAACCCAAACGGATGTTGTCACATTACAACATTTTAATTCTCATACGACCTACTCTGTAACTGTACAACTATCTTTATGATGCGAACACTCACAAGTCATTAACATGGGAATCTTTCCCATTTCTACTATCCATCCCAAATAATATGAACATGGCATATGCCCTCAGTATCAATGTGTCTGCCTGTAAGTACAACATAAAGCTGAATAACTACTGTTTCCATGTATGTGCCTGTATATTCACTGACTAAAGTCATATTTTGTTTTCTGTTTTCCCAGCCTGATAGAGGAGCGTAAATGCACCTCCCTGCCCAGCTCTCCCGCCAAGCGAGTGTCTCCCACCAAAAAGAAGCAGTTCTTTATTAACCAAGCCATCCGCAACTCTGACCTCATTCCCCGAGCCAAAGGCAAGAAGAGCCTCCGCCGACAGGAGAACAGTAAGTTCTCACTTCACACGACCAGATAAGAAGATGCTGTCATCCACTGAAGTCTGACCTCCCGAAGAGCCTTCAAGTGTGCCACCATCAGAAAATTGGTGCCTTCAATGATGGAAAAGAGCATTTACATTGAATTCTCTGTTACTGCAAAAATGCACTTTAAATTCATAAATCTGTCACTGGAGGATTTCTTATATCACCACTGTCCATCTGTCTCTTCTCTCCCTCTCTGAAAACCAGCGCGCTTTCTTGCCAATCTTCTTGAGAGGGATGAATGCTCCAAAGATGATCTGGAGGTTTGCAGTAACCCAGCCATCCCATCCATCTTCACTGAAGCCTGCACCAATGGAAACTACATAGAAGTAAGACAGCTATGTTTAAACATATCTGCCTTGATGCATGAAAGGAATTAAGACATTACGGTTACCTTGGGATCAATTGTGACATTTTTTCCCCCCGATGGTTTAGAGTCAAGTGTTTTTTTTGTGCACTATGTATGTATGTGATATGTCTGCAGTAGCTGACACATTAAAACCTTATCTATTGATAAATTTAACGTTTAACAGTTTCATTTAGTGCTCCTACAGATAGAACAACATCTGTGAAGAAATTACTATAAAATTTTGCTTGTATGTGTGGTGACTGTTTCTCTCTTGAATGAGATATAATTTCCTCCAGTGTAGTGCCAGAATATCATTGTGTTAAGTGAAAGGTGAAAGCTTTTGTGAGTGTCGGACTTAAAGTGCGAGCATACGACCATTTCCTGGAGGCAGCATATACCAGTGTAAACTCGATTCACAATGAGCTTGCAAAAATACCAGCAGAAAAGATTAGCTCATTCATTTTTGGTCAGCAATACACTAGTGTGACTCAGTATTAGCTCAGGTTTTGTTCTCCCGCTTGTGTACAGGCCAGCCATTTATCAAATTTCAAAAAATGCTCCATTTTCCAGCGTCGTAGAGAGCATCCTGCAGGCACACTGACACTTTGGTGGAATTTATATGTTTTAAAGTTTCTATAAAAACCACAGACATTACAACTTGTCTTGCATCTGTGATCCAGACATCACATCAAATCTATCAGCACCCATTAAAATAAACAGACTAGTTTCACTTATTGTCCTGTTCTTGTAGCCTTGGAATGACTTCATGAATTGCTCCGGAGAGGAGCAGGAGAGGCTGTTGTCTCTGCTGGAACAGGAGGAGGCCAAGAAGAAAAACACCAACCGACTCCTCAAAGACCAGAGGAATGGTGAGTGTCGCAGTTTTGAGTAATGGTTGTAGGCCGGTGGTTTAAAGTATGGCTGTTTGGTTTACCGTCACTCATCTCTTCACAGTAAATCCTGCCTTCACTGCTCAGGACTGCTTCCAGAGAATTGATCGCAGGCTGCGAGCCACTCTTAGAAGGAAACAAATCCCCATGGTGAGTGTTAGGTCTTCTCCTCATTGTACTCGATAGGGAAATGTTTGATCGCTGATCATTTCATTTGGGTCAAGATTTAGATGCATGGTAAGAGTCTATGTACTGTACAGTAGCTTCAGACTTAAGCTCAAGTTTAGACTTTGTCAACTCTCTGTCCGTATGGTTGTGACAACTGCTTAAAGACATGTCTTTGCCACATTTTGACAAATCTTTCCTGCATATCTGCTGTGCATCAAACCCAGAGGCTGCACCAGCTTGTTGTTTGTTAGTCCCTGTTGGAAAAGTCTTTGTTTCCTTTTCTTAGTCTCTTGTGTATTATTAGCTTAAAGTTATTATATTCTTAATTTACTGATTATCCTTTTTGTCCATAAAATATTAGAAAAATTGTGAAATAAACCAATCTAAGTTTCCCAGAGCTCAAGGTCACGTCTTCATACAGTATGGGTTGTTCAGTTCAATCATCAGTCCAAAACCGAGACATGTTCTGTATACTATTATATAAAACATAGAAAATTATTTTTATTAAAAAGAAAGGCTGATGAATTTTCTATCAGGTAACTAATCAGTGAATTGACTAATTATGTCATCTCTACATTGGCCATTTTGGGTTGTTTAGAAAACAGTGACACATGCTCTTCTAGATTTTCTTTTTCTAAATTTTTTTTAATTTCTAGTACTGTGTACAGATTTACAAAATCACCATTTTGATTAACAAAGTAACAAATCACAAATGGATTTTACCACTGCACTAGATCTTGTGGGGCAAGCATCATATTGACCAAGGCACTGAACCAGATATACCTTCTGATTGTGTTCCTTGTCCTCACAGGGAACTCTGGAAGTACTTGAGGAAAATCTCCTGAGCTTCTTCAACACTCAACCTCACTCAGTTTACACAACCAACCTCACCAGCAGGTAGAAATCCTCTTTTATATGTCCAGCATATTTGCAGGTCCTAAAGTCTTAAAAAGCGCTGAATTCAGATTCCTCAACAAAAGGCCTGAGAGGGTATTGAAAAGTCTTAAATATTTTTCTCTTGTCTTCCACAGGCAGTTAATGTGTTTTTTGGTTTTTTTTTGAGTAGCCCTTGATATCAAATTTCATCAGTAACATTATGGAAAATGATTGAGTCCATGTGCTCAATAACAGCCCTCGTCATTGAGCCATGTCCACACTGACTTTAGACCAGTGTGGGGAAAAAAAGGATGTGCTAACACATTTACCTAGCGATAAACACAAGATGAAAAATCCTGTCTCATAGCATTATAAACCACTGTGATAAGCCTTCAAACTCAAAGTGTTACTCAAATTGAGCTTCCTGGATCGTGTTTCATATCTCATCGCCCCGGCCTGAAGCAACACAAGTGTTAACACACTTTTATCTCTGTACTTCTTGACAAATATACAGGTTGAAAGTTCAGACCGATGGATCCTAATTATGTTCGCCCACCTGGAAAAGGTGGGGAAAGGTATATTAGATAACAAGAAACATTTATTGCAGCAAACAAAAAGGAGGATGTGAGAGAAGGGGGGTACATATATTTATGGATCTCTGTGGAGAAAAAATGGGTCAGTACACATGCAAACGAATTCTCAGTGTGAGGACACTGTGGAGGGAAGGAGCAGAAAGTCATTTCTCTGTTGTTTGTGTTTGTAAATCAGCTTTGAGAGACTGCTGCTTCATGCCGTCTGCCAGTACATGGACCTCGTCTCTGCAAGTGAGTGGAAACACATACCAATATATATCTGGCTTGTCCGCATCCTGTCTGAGCATCGGACAACGATTTTTCAAAGTCTCTTCCTTCTGTCTGAAGCTGTGTAAATGTCCATGACATTGACATTTATTCACTGACATATACTGTAAATAAATCCTCTGTTTAAAGGCTGTAATGTTTCCCTACCAGTAAATATGTGTGTGGTGGGTTCTTTTTCAGTTTCATGGCTTCTCCACACTGATGAAGCGAAAATGCACAGGAAAGCAGTGAATGCTTACATTTTGTCAGATCAGTTTTGAGTGAAAATACTGGCAGAAAACATCAGTTAATCATCTGACAAATATTTTCCATCTAGCACTTACAGACATAACCATAGAGAGACATTTTTCAAAAATGATTTCTGTTTACATAATCCTGTTTATGCAGCTTTGCTGGACTTACAAAGCTATCTTAATGTGAGTCACATGAGAGTGATCAAAGTCTGTTTTTTGCTTGTTGCACCCTCAGGCACCGACTACAACGGGTCACGTCAGACTGAAGTGGTGAACAAACAAGAGGAGTTTCTGCCTCCTGCACTTCTGCTGTCTGCCTACCTGGAGCAGATGAGCTGAGACCAGGACCAAGCCCTGTTTCCCCTGCATGGCTCTGCTGCTGGCAGGAGCTCGGAGAGATGTAGATAAGGTGCGCAATCCCTATGTAGTAGTCTGTGTAATGTCCAACAAGCTCCACAAACAGCTGCTTCCTTCTGGTTGGTCTCTGGTTTCTGTAGTAAATTATCAATTAATTTAATCCACAAACAAATCAGAGTTCATCGACCCCTGTATGTAAGCAGGCTTCGCATACATCCGAAATGTTACATGTTAGATATTAGCATCATAGCCTGCTATCTGTATGTATGTTATTATGCTGAAGTCAACATTCAGCTCAAAGCACAGCTTGGCCTGAGTTCAGGAGGTAGGCACACATCTGAGGTAGGCAAAGTACGGGTTAAACTGTTAAAGGTCTGACTGAACAATGGAGGCCTTGTGGAGATGCATTTTCAAAACATAATATGCTCTAGATGCTGGGATAGGCTCCAGCCCCCCCGCAACCCTACTAGAGGATAAGCGGTAGAAAATGAATGAATGAATGAATATGCTCTAGACGTGCCTCTACTCTCATATACTGTTTTTGTGTTTACATCGTAGTGTTACAGTTAACCATGTATCGGCTCTGATATCTTACAGTCTGACATAGCTCGAGACAGAGACTTTAGTAGACCAGTCCTACACAGTGTGACAGGCAGTAAACTTACACTATCATTGGCACCTTAACATCATGACAGTGTCATTATTTAATTTTCCATCAGTACATCCCTTATGATTTTTAAAAACTTAAGTTTCTAAAATATATCTTGTAATTCGAACATTGCATCACTGCTCTGACTATCAGCTGCACAAGTTAATTGATTGGTGAGGACTTGCTTGTGAACTCAAATCTGATATTCATTTCAGTAAAGCACAACTTCATAACAATAAATAATGACATAGAAAAAATTAATGGAAAGTTTACTTGGAGCCCATTTCTACTGTTTGAAGTCTCAGCTCTGTTCAGGCTGTATGGACCCTGTAGGGCTGATAGTGAATGACAGTTTGTAAAGGTGCTAAGACGAGGAAGGCGCTCTACTACATCAGGAAATGCATCACTGCCCAAAGGATTAGCCTGTAGGATTTGTGTAAGTAGTGAGGTATTAAGCATGAATATTAATAATCTCTACATTATATACACAGACACATCACTGATCGTCATAGATATAAAAGTAAATGTCTGTCTGTAAGGGTGTAAAATAACAGCTTCTAATATGCTTGGGAAGCGAAGTCATTCTTTTATACGCATCTCTTTGTTATGTATAAGAAGAAACTTGCTCTTTAGGTATAGCTTCTTCAAGATCTGCTTTGGGGGATTTTTTTTACTTTGCATCTTTCTCTGCTTGCTCTGTCTGGCCTTTTCACTCATCATCTGAGGGATACACTCACATGTGGCCAACCACACTGTCAATGCTGATCAAGTAACGACTTGGAAACAACTGAGCACAGACTGTGACACGAAACAGTATGTCTTGTGCTTTTTTTTCTTTAAAGCTAAAATACATGACTGTATGACAGCACTGTGGCTGCACAGATCCATTGTAGACACTGGCAAACAGCTGCAGCTGCTCCTGTTGTGTTGCTGCTGTGCTGCTTTCACTGCACACTGGTGTAGACAAGGTCTAAATGTTATTTCAGTCAATATTCAAAGACAAGATAAGGAACTATACTATTGTTAAAAATTGCTTGTGTCCCTGTAATTTTTGATTTATTGATGGGTTTTTTGCAACATGCACAATGTTTACTGAGTTTACACTAAACACAAAACTACAACTTAAACAGCGTGTGTCTTACATGAACTGGTACTATGGTTTAAAGGTATACTGTATGAACAGTAGATGTGTTACGCTAATGGAAAAATAACCACATTTAAGGTGTTTTGATGGTAAAAACCTGCTGAGTTTTGACTCTCAGGTGTGTGTCTCATCTCAATAATAACATTTACAACCCCAGAAAAGCACTTCTGCCTTATGAACGAAGTTTCTATGTTTTTTTCTGTACATGTATTTCTACATTTGTACTTGACAAGATTTTGGAAACACTTATCCAGGTTATTTAAAAAAAAAAAAAATGTTATCCCCGATTTTCTTTTCATGCTGTTGTCAGCAGTGTAACAAAACTTGATCTATTGGTGCATTTTGTCAACAACCAAAGTTTGTGCATTTGTTGTGTGGAAATCCAACTTCTCAGGCTTTCGATTTCTCACTCTGAATGTCATGTAGTGATTTCACATGGTGTCATTTTCAGTGTACTGTATACTCTCATCAAGATGAACTTGTTTGGCACTGCCAACTTTTTAAATATCTGTAGAAGTAGTTGTGCTGTAAATAATGAACTCAGATAATTGACTTGTGCCAACATTTGGATTGAAAAAGCCTATAATCGTCTGAAAGCTTTATACACTAGATTGTAACATCTTTGTGTATGTAATGACGTGTGTTACGGTACCTATTTATAGTTATCACTGCAACTATTAAAGGATTTAAGATATTTTTTCTCTTTTTTACTTCAAACTGTTGAAAGCCATGTCTGAAAAATGGTTTTAATAAATGTCTCCACTAATCTTCTGTTTTTAACCACTGGAATTCAGTTATAAAGTCACTTATTTTCTGACTTAACTCCATGCACAGGTATAAATATCAGCTCCAGCCAGTCTGTTATCAGTGGTGGAAGAAGTATTCAAAACTACAACTTCAGTAAAAGTAGCAATACCCCACTTCAGAAATACTTGAGTGCAGGTGAAGTCCTGCATTCCAAAGTAAAAATACAGAAATATTGTCTACAAAATCTACTGAAAACATAGAAAGACGTAGTAAAACGTAGTAAAGAGTAGTAATTTACTTAGTTACTTTCCACCACTGTTTGTTATCCACATGGGAAATTACTGAGGTTGCCATATAACCACATTTCCTTTGCTCATATTATTAATTTTAGTGCGCTGCATGTTGTGCGCTTGAGCACATGACTGTATAGTGTCTTTGCTGATTCGAAATATGGTGTTTGGCTACAAAGAAGACACGCAGATTGCACATAATGTTCATATTCACTTATATAAGGTGTGAATGCAAGTTAAGAAACATGAAATTTGGACATTTCTGGAAACCAATCCTTTAAATAAGATACAGCAGAATGCTTAGATTAAAATCCAAAAATATTCATATAACCAAGCAACTGCAGACTTTGATTTACAACCATTTACCCTTGACAACAAAAAACGCTTCAAAACCACCATACAAAATATTAGGTAAAAGAACCAGTAACACAAAATCATTGAGGTGTTATAGGAGAACTGAATGCTTTATTTTTAGAAAGATTGTTGATTGTTTATTTACTGAAGCTATTTAAAGTGTTTCTAAAAAGTTCCGTGACAGATGGACAGTGGTATTTTTAGCATGAAAGTTGTGTGGATTTGCTTCGATTCTTACCAGTAGATGGCGTAATGGTGCAATGAACTACAGGTCATCAGTGAAAACAAGCGTCTGAATTTATCAGAGTGCCCATGTGAACATCAATGTGCTGAATCGACCATTTCCACGTGTTTTTTAGTTTTAATGATTGGAGCTGTTACACAACTTTTCAGAGCCAGCTTTAAAAATGGTACATTACATGTGATAGACGAGATAATGCAAACACTCCGAATGATGACTTCAACTTTGATGCAGCTGTTTGGATGAATGACAATTATCAACATTTTTTAGCTATTTAAAGATTAGGAAAAATCTTCTCGTTGATTATTGGCAGTCTTTGAAACAACCAACATGGATAATGCAACCATATAAAGTATGTAGAGGGTTGACAGATACTGCCACTTGGTATTCAGCTGAATTTGACCTAGCTTATTAAGATCAATATTAAGGTCTCTCCGGTAGTCTTTATATGTCTATATGTCTTGTATTGCTTGATTAAAAAAGTTTTAAATATTAGAATCTTACTCCATATTGAAACATAAACTGAAGTGTTTGTTTATTCTATAATTTCAGAACACAATTTAATCAGTTTATTATAAAACCACATATCAGAGATAAGACAAGCATTTCGAGAAGTCTGAATACTTCAAATATGCAACCCAAGGTGTTTTCATATTGCATTAACTTTAGTAACAGAAAATGCAATGTGTTTTCTGTTTCTGTAATATACAGGAAGTCACATTAAGAATACTTGAGAATCATTAGTAATGCTTTAAGAAACTGACTGAACATCAGAAGTTTAAAACTTTATCTTTTGTCTTGACGCCTGATTATTTCTAGTGAAGTGAATGAACATGTTGCATGATGTGCTCTCAAAACAGTCCTCATCACCGACATTTTCTTGTTTTTGGATTCATCCTTTCCCATGTTCGACCACACCCTGGCAAAGATCAACTCAAAATGAAACACATCAGTCATCTTTAATTATTTTGGTATCAAGTGTGAAATTACAGCTTTCATCAACACAGAGACACATTTGATTTTAATTTCATCTCTCACTGCGTCAGGGCCATGAACACACTCCTCTCCGGGATCCTATTACTTCTGATGAGGCAGAGGGAGGATCATTTTTCTGTTTTAAATATCTTTGAGCACTTTATTTTAGTAAACAGCTGCAACCAGCCTGCGCTCACTGTAAACTCATATGTGGAAACAGGTGAGGAGGACGGTGACTTTTGAAGCTTGTCAACAATTGTGGGATGAGGACAGAAGAGGCTATGTCCTGCAAGGAGTTTATCTAACTGTGGCTGAACAAATATTATTTTTTGCTTATAGTCAAAATTTGAATGGACTAGACCTGTTTACATTGTGCTTTTTAATTTTTCCACTCACAAATATATTGCATGTTCTCTCTGTCCTATAAGTTGTTGAATTATAGCTCTGGTTGGATTCATCTCTAAGAGGAGCCCTGGCACAAAAATTTGTTGTTGGGCCTCTGTTGACCCCAACTTTACATGACACATGATACATACACCAACCACTACTTTAGGGGTGAAATGATTAGTTGATTAATCAATTAGTTGATTGACCGAAAATTAAATGGCAACAATTTGGTTAATGATTCATAGATTAAGTAATTTTTTTTTTTTTGCAAAATGCTGTTTTCCCTGTTTACTATGATGGTAAACATCTTGGGGTTGGACTGTTGGTCAGAGAAAGAAAACATAATTTGAATGCCAATATGTTGTTTTTCACTATTTTCTGAAACTTTTTTGGATGGAACAATTGATTATCAAAAAAAATAATAGTTGAATGTACTTATAATGAAATGAATCGTTGGTTGCAGCCTTACAGTATCCCTATGGTGGGATATGCAACCTTGCCTCACGTTTTCTGTGTGTCAACTACTTGACACAGAAAAAAATGAAGTAATTTAATTAAACGCAATTTAAAACAATTTCGATTTTATTAGAAGCCGAAACATTTTAGTTCTTAAAGCTATATTTAGACACAGGGTCCCTCTACAAGAAAAGGGAAATGAGATGGAGGATGGAGGATCTGATACACTGTAGTTGATATTGTACGTCACTGTTGCAAATTTCTGATAAATTTGCGATCAAATTATGTAGACCCAAATAATATTGAGTAAATCTGGGGCTTTTGGGGTCTCCCGAGGCCCTGTTGGTGATCCAGCCATGGTTACTGAATTTTTTAAGTGTAATGTTATGTGTGTGTGTGTGTGTGTGTGTGTGTGTGTGTGTGTACGTGTACTGTATCAAAATGTGTTCAATGCAGTTTTTCAATAGCATTTTAAATGGATTCATTTTGAACAGACAGCTAAATCAACTATTTTCAACACCCTCACTCTTTCTCATTCATTCAGCTTGCCAGGCTCCACTGCATACTGTATATTGAAAGTAAAAAGTTGAGTTTAGGTGAGTTCCCTGCAGTTGAATAAACCACTTTTCCACCTTCATATTTTCAAAATGAGTTTTGAGAAGCTTATTGAAATGAAGGGAAACTGTATCAATGATTTTGATAAAACTAAATTATCCATAACGATATAAGTCAGTAATGTTTGTAGCTGGTGAAATCTGATGGGCTGAATTGTTAGGCTTCAATTTTAAGCTTATTTTATGCAGTTTTCATACCAAACACTCTTTTAATTTTCCCATCCAACCTTCCTGCTGAACAGGGGTTCTCCATCAAGGGACTGTCACTAAAAATCAACACTGAGGGGAAATGTAAACACACAACACATGATTTATGGTAAGTTCCATGACAAACACTAAGTTACACTGTACAAATTTTGTACTAAATACATTTATATATATTGCAAACTTCATGCTGAAAATATAAATGTACAAGGATTTTGTGCAGAATCTTCATAATGATTAGCTTTTTAACCCTGACCTTCTCTACAATACATGTAAGTGGTTCTCAACTGTTTGGCCTTGAGACCCCCTTAAAATTAAGCTACAGTATGTTTACTTCATTCATTCATTCATTAGCCGTACCACTTAACCTTATAAGGAACCAGGGGTGCTGGAGTCCACCACAGCTGAGACTGGGTGAGGGCAGGGTACACCCTCCCCAGTCTATCACATTGCTGATATATCAAGACAAACAACCATTCACACTCCCATCAAACCTAAAGGCAATTTAGAGTCAGCAATTAGTCTAAACTGCATGTCTTTGTCTTTGTTTACTTGTGACCCCTCAACATCACGGTGTGGTCATCAGACAAAACAAAACATTAGTAAGAAAACATCCAGAAAGTAGATAAACATCATTTGTGGGGCTGCATTTAACAACTAGTTTTATTACTGATTAATCTGCAAAAGCAGCAAATTATCACAACTGAGAGGCAGTTTTTTGTTAATCTGTTGTTTTTGGTTTTTCTTTTGCTCGCTTGTTTTGCCTTTTGTTTATAGACAGGGTGGGAGTGAAGATCTAGTGACTGATTCATTGGATGTAAATAATTAGAATTTTAAATTGTCTTTTGTGATGGACATCCCCTCACAGTCCTCTGACTTGATCATCACTGAAAATCTGTGGGTAGATCTTGGATAAGGCTGGTGTTTGTCCAGAATTTTTTAACAGTAAAATAATTATATGATTATATGGAAAGGCCCAAACCAACAATATGTTAGTCCATCTCTTGATATTTTAGCTTCCCCAGCCTGTCTCTGGCTTTCAGCTCCTATCCCATTCATTCTTTCTAAAAAATTAAAACCAAATTTTTAAATGAGTATTCAATATATAGGCTACTTTCATTTAAAAATGCTAAATAAATTACTAAAATAGTTGGGCACTTTGGTTTTTAGATTATACCCAAACAGGAGTAAATTGTTCATTTGTTAGGGACTATTTCCGGCTTCAGACCTGGTGTGCTAGCAAACACAGCAATTGTGGGAATGACTCAAACTAGTGCCCATGTTCTTCACAATGACGGACAGCAAATGAGCTTTATGACACAGGGAAATATGATACTTTATATTAGACATTGTTAATGGGAACAGTTAATTGTTTTGGTCGTTTCATACAGTTAAGTAAAATATGGAATATCACCAAACATGCTGTTCATACAAGACAACCTACAAGAACTAAAAAATGAATAGCTGAAACTTCGTAGATCAACATAAAGATATAAGAGCAGGGTCACTAAGTACGGACTTCGTAGGGTGCCTAAACTTTTGCACTTGCCACAATTACAGTTAAATTTTTTTCCCTTTTTAAAAAAAAAAAATTTATTAATGAAATTAAAAGTGCAAAAATGCTCTTTTTGTTTTCTGCAGGGCTTGTGTTTACTTATTTTCACACCCTTGCATTTACCGACATCCCCTGCTCCGGGGGGTGGGGGTGTATGGGGGGCTGGCCCCTGCTGATTCAGAGGTTAGGAATTTGCATCTGATTGCTATTTGTCAACCAATGATCTGACTGAGCAGACCGGAGACTCTCTCCACGCCTCTCTCTCGCTGTCTGTCTGTCTGAACGATGCGGGCTCTCAAACTGTGAAAACACAATCACACGCAAGAGCCGAATGCGTGGATATCATGCAGTCACATGAAACTACTTCATTTCTAGCTGATAAACACACGAACTACCTTTCCTCTTCCTCATTTAGGTGTTATTTTCTCTGTGTGTAATCGGAAGGGTAGACTGGATTCAGAAACGGGGAAAACAGGAATGTTTCTTCCGGTTCCAAAGAGTCAAGAAAAAAGCGAACGGAAGCCAATGTGGTAAGTTTACATTTGGTTTTATTTTTTTGGTTGGCTTTATTTCCGTATGTACAGACGTATAAGTGATATGCATTTATGTGTCTTCCTTCTTTTATGCGATCTCTGTTAACTCCTCACTTACGGGACCCAGCTAGCTTTTTTTTTATCGATACGTTATCAAGTCGCCTGATCAATTGGATATTGCTAAGGTAGCGGATGGACTCGACTGCCATATGTCACCCAAGGATCTAATTTAACCTACGCTAAGTGCAATGACACTATTTATTGTTGTAAAGTGAAACGGAAGACACGGTGGTTTGATATTGTAGGGTTTTTTTGTTGTTGTTTTCGGTTGTTATATTCAATTTTAAACCAAACGGAGTAAAAAATAAAAATGTTATAAGGTAGCACCACCCGTGTTTACTGTCAGTTCAAAAGCGTTAAACTGTAGTAAAAGCTAACGTTTGAATTTCGACCGTTAACTTGATTTAACACAAAACACGATAACAAACGTAAAGCCATAACTTTGCAGGCTGCTTCAGTTAATAATACAAGCTGACTATTTACCATATTATCTGGTGCTTTAGCCAGAGGATAAACCAACGACTTATGCGTTTGCTGTGAAAGATTTACAGTTAAAATTGTTAATTAAAGTTAATCAGTTACAGAATTGAATATGCTCATAGTGACGATATGCACTACAAATTTGAAGCCAACATTTATGAGTGTCTCAACGCCATTAAAACATCCATTGGATGGTTGTGCAACGTTAGTACATCCTATATCTTTAAGTTAGGTGTAAAAGACAGTGCTTGCCATAGCATCTACTACTGGGCCTGAAGAGACCGTTTGGTCTGCTAAATTGTCGTGTTAGGGGGTCAAAGCAGAGACAGTGGGTTAATTCGGAGTGAAAGGCGCCTTTATGAATCAATTTAAGGTTGTGTTGTAGGCCTTTTTGCCACGTACGTTTAGAGCTGTAATGAGTAGTTGACCAATTGATTCGATCGTCAGAAAAGTAATAGGCAAATATTTTATAAACGATTAATCATGTTACTCGTGTTTGCAGAAAAAATGTCATGTCCTTCGCCTATCAATTATTAAGGTTTTCTGCATTTCCCTGTTTTATATCTTTGTAAACAGAATATCATTGGGTTTTAGACTGTTTGTCAAACAAATCAAGACCTCTGAGGCCATCACATTGGACTCTGAGAAAGAGGAACAGGACATTTAGACTAAACGATTTATCATGAAAATAATCAGATTTCTAATTGATAATAAACATAATCATTAGTTGCAGCCATACTCACGCATTCATGATGTTGTAATATTGTGGTAATACTGGTTTTGTCAGACCAGGTCTAAAGATAAGACTAAAATCAGAGCAAATAACAGTCCTGTTCAAGAGAAAGGTGCAGTCGACATGTATTCAAAGATGCAAAAGTAACTCTTAAGCATCAACACAGGTGCAGATCTGTCTCACTTTAACATCAAACCAATATGATTTCACAAAAGTTTGAGGCTTTGTGAGTTTTTCACAGGTGAAATCCCTTTAATTGTGAAAAACAAAAGAGGAGTAGGTGGATAAAAGAGTCTGTCTGCACCTGGTAGTGGCTGAGATCAAGACAAGTCAAGTCAAAACATCCACAAGACAAGTCCAACATGTCAGGGAAGTGATATGGACACAATGCTGGTGGGAAAATCCACTGTATGTAATAAGCCACAGATTCCTCTCTATGACATCAGCGGGCATTAAAGGGGGCAGCAAACTTTTCATTGCAAGTGGATTAAAAAAGAGCTCAAGAGGTGTCAGTACTGTATTTTTTTTTTTTTTTCTGGAGTCTGGTTGGTTATTCCACACTGACAAACCTCACAGCCACAACCAAAACTGACTAGCATTTGGTTTGTGGTTGATGTAGTTTCTCACCAAGTAATGGGGGTGGGGGAGTACAGGCACAGGAAGCTGGTTTGATTTGAAAGCCTGTATAGTACTTTGTGTAAATGACCTTAAACATGCTTGTTCTGAAAACCTATGGCTCAATTGTCTGGTTTCAGTGAAGATTTTCATTGTCTTGGTCTGATCAAGACATTGGCCCATATGTTTCATTCTACTGTGTAACTGAGATGACAGGAAGACAGTTGTGAAATGTCCTGGCCATGAAGAAAGTTTATTTAACATAATGTTCGCTGTAACATCACAAATTGATGAGGAAATTAGATTTTGAAACCTGAACCAGAAATCTGATTGACAGGATGGAGTGGGAAGCACAGGGAGTCTCTTCATTTGGAAGTTTATTTTTAGATTTTCATTGCAAAAGAAATTGAAGTGGCTTTTCAATCTCTGTGGGAATTTACCACCAGCCATTTACCATTTAGGATGTACTCCGCCTGGTTTCTTACGCTACCAGCCACTTCGCCAAGGAACCACTCATCATTTGCTGGTGTGATTACATTTAAAATTTGACTTGAAGCATAATTTTGAGTAGGCAAGTTGCTCTTCTACAGCCATTGTCTTCCATGTTAAAGTGCGTTTAACTTCTTAAAGTTGTGGCTGACAAAGGGAAAGAAAGTGAGAGATGTTATGTTTGCGAACTTACCACCAGCAGTTTCTCAATGTGATTATTAAGCACTGAAATTCTTAAGAGAGATTTCCAGGCCCTTATCGCACCCTGCACCCCACCATCCTCCAATCATCTTAGAGGCTTGCCTAGAAATTGCCACACTAATCTGTTTGGACCAATCTGGCATATGGTTTCCTCTGTCCGACACCAACTGCACCAGCTCAGTGTTTCCAATGGACAGAGGCACTGCTGCAGCAAGTGGGTATGGGGGGTGTTTACATTGTAATTGGCCCATTGTGAGTTAGAAACGTATGGCTTGCAATCAAGTTCAGGTTTTAAAAGGCCTTCACTTGCTTTTGCAAAATGTCGGCTGGCCTTAATGAGCAACACACCTTGTTACGAAACCAGATTTACATAAAGAAGCTTGTTTTTGCACTTGATTTGAAGAACTGATGCCTGTGTTGTCATTTCATGTCAAAGGGACATGTTGACATAGCAGTAAACCTTGACCTAGCGTTCTATCAATATGATACTAATATTGTGATTTCCCCTATCATAGGATTTTGGTTATAAACTATCACGATATAGCTTGATTATTGTGTCTGTCTAGGCTTAAAAGCTGCATTAGTTTCACAAAACATGTTTCTAAAGTTTTTAGTCAGTTACAGTTGATGGAAATGGGCATATACCACCCACTTGGTCATCTCATTAGAAACATCAATAGTGCTTGCAAACATTTTAGATTGTCAATATTGTTCATTTTTGGCAGAAGCTGATGTCAAAGTGAATATGTCAATATCTAAAGATCCCAAAAGTTGCAAGTATTGCCCTGAGAAAAGTTCTCATTGTGGAGGATAAGCCTCCTTGACTGTTGACATATCACCAGAAAGAAATCTTAACTGAACAAAGTGCTGTAATAAAATCTACTCATTCAAAAAGATTTGATGTATAGAAATTTAATCGATCATCATCAATTATTTATCAAAAAAAAGAAGCCCAACACTCACTGGTTAAAGATTAAATAAGGAATTTGAAGAATTTACCTTGTAATTTGGAAAAATTTAAAGGCATTTTAGAAGCAAAATTAATGGATCATTTGGGAAAAAAAAAAAAAAAAAAGTGAGTCGAATGATAAATCAGTAATGAAAATTGTTGGTTACAGCACTAGTGTGGTCCTCTCCAATTTTCCAGCTAGTGAGAAACTGCTATCATATCACAGGTGCGCTTTAGGTTGATATCAGTCTCGCTGTAGTTGACTCATGTATTTCTACTAGGCCATCGGTCACGTGAGTGTTATCATGACTTTGGTTTATGCCAGTATGTCTACTTCCTGTGTTGTTGTCCTGATGTTGTGTCTTCTTGGTTCTCCAGACTGCATTTGTTATGCCCTCCCTCTCTTGACATGTAAACTGGTCCCTGTGGCCTCTTCTCTAATCGAGTGTTTGGCGTGATCTGTATTGAAACCAACTGTTCACACAAAGATCTGTGCGTTAGTCATGTTCAGAGCTAGAGTTCTACTTGTTCTCTGAGAGGCAGGTGGTGTTTGTAAATTCACAGCTCAGTGTGTTTGAGTTTGCTCAATGTACATATAGAGATGCAAGGCGGGACGTGCATTCAAAAGTTTACAAGCAGAAATCCACACAGCTTCCTGTCATCACAGACATTTGATCTCAGCCCAAAGGTATTTGAACAACATTTGGAAGCGGCAAGTGTAATATGCAAAGAGATTGCTCAGTTTGCCTCCGAGCATCATTGCTGAGTGAACAGCGGTCACTAGCAGTTGGCCACTAAACTGGTTAGTGGCTGTGAATTAACACAGACAAACATGCAGTGACAAGACAAACAGGTCTGACATCTATTTGTGTTCTTATTCTCAAACTATAATCCTCTACAGGGTTGCAAAGGTTGCTTTTATGTTGTCACTACATTAAAATCTCCCTCAAGGCTTAAGGGTGTGGGCTTAAGGCCTATATTGTGTCACTTGACTGTTTTCTGTAATAACCCACCTGTAAATATCAGCTTGTTTGCATCACTGTGAATGCAACTGCTGTCTGCACACCAGAAGCTTTCCTGCCATTTAACTGTGTGGGAAGCAGCGTGGTTTGGCTGGCTTTCAGCTGTTCCTGTGCCAAAAGCTACATTTCTGAAGGGCCTGTACAGCACGTGGGGCTTTGAACTTTGTTATCCTGCCAAAAAATGCAGGAAAAAAACTCACAAGTTACTTCAGTGCTTGGGCCAGAGCCATGGGGGAATCCCAGCAGGGCTGACGGTGACGCAGGCACAGAGCAGGGTCTGAGGTTTTGGGATGCCCTACAGTTTCTCAACCAGGCTGCTAGGACTGTTGTAAGCTCTGTGTATTCAGTCAGCGGCTAACACAAGGTCCTGTGCCAGCCACTGTGATCTATCCTGGTACTCGTCTGCCTGGATACCAGCACACCATACTGACATGTCCATCAAGCATTT